GCGAGTCTTGAGGGTCTTAACACCTAGGTGGGAGTCCAGGCGAGGGCAAGAGGTGCATGATCTCATCTTAGTGTCCCCCACAAGCGGCTACACAGAAATACACACGTATTTTCACTGTATACGTTGTCAATAAAAAACAACGATTTTTTTGCCAAACATGCCTCAAAGTGACAATATTTCACACCCCTAGCCATCACAATATTCGACATAGAAAGCTTAAAATTTGTTTGCATACATATTTTTACGCGTAAATTAATAGAGTGAACACGATTTGAGGTAACGCTTATAAGTTAGAATTGATAGAAGTCAAATGTTTTCTGAAAAATACTGAAAAATGGTACTATTTCCCCCCTTTTCTGCTACACCCAAAAAGTTTATTGAGGTCATCACCCCCATTTTTTTCAAAATTTCAAAATATTTGTACGATTTAAGCTTTAATTTAAATCTACATAGAAGTGTCTAACACGTCGGGTTAAGGAGAATAAAAATACTAAAAACATGGTTTGTAGAGACTTACCCCCACTATACTCAAAATCCTGACATGATATGCAATTGCTGAAAGCTTTTAACGTCCTCGTAGTTTAAAGTTAAAATTTAGAAACTTCCTGGAAGGTTCCTATATAAATTTGCTGAAAAATTGCAATAAAAATTATCTGTAATATTAAAGTGTATATTTAGAAGAATGTTGTTTCTTAATTTTCTCTAAAATTATTTAACAATAAGCAAAGTATGTATTCTAAATAATCACGGGAAAAATTCTCCTAAAATTAAGTTTAACTATCAGAAATTTTCAATGCAATTTTTCAGCAAATTTACATATGAAACTTCCAGGAAGTTTCCAAATTTTATATTCAACCGCAAGGACATTTAGAGCTTTCCAGAAGTTAACAATGGAAAGATCCGAACTTTACAGTGCTATCTTCCTGCCATTTTTCAGCAAATTTACATAATATGAAACTTCCATGAAGTTTCCAAATTTTAACTTTCAACCACGAAGAAAAAAAGATTTATGGAAAAAAATTTAAGATTTTAAATAATAAGTTATAATGTTTTTTGTGTGATGTTGAAAGAAATTTTCGATAATATGATAACACTGTATGACACAAAAAAAGAGGGGGTCCTTCTATGTATAGAAATCTATGGAGTCAAACCACGACAACCGTGAGAAAATTTTTTTTAGATTTTTGGAAAAATAAAACCAATTGTGGAAATCTTTAGCTCACAACGAACCAAAAAAACACTTTGAACCGTTTTTAAAAATTTTTAATTTTTATAACCTTTTTTTATAATAACAAATTTTTTCATCATTTTAAAAAAAATTATTAACTTAAATTTTGTTCGCTAGAAATTATTGTCAACTTTTTTTTGTAGTAAATAAATATCCACTCTTTTAAACAAACTTAATTGTGAAAAAAAATTTCAAAAATTTTTAATTTTCGATAACAATTTGTATTTTTTATACTGTCTACAGCATGGATTATAATGAAATTTGTATGTAACGTACCTTGGACTCTTGTCTTTATATTTCTTAATAAAATTTCTATTTCCAATTAAAACCGGAGATTTTCAATTTTTTTTGCGCCGTGTACCACCCGCCAAAGTGGTTATCAAATGAAAATGGGTTCAAAACAGTCCAGGGTCGTCTTGAAGTAAAATAAAGTTTTTCTACGTCGACAAAAAAAGTCATTTATACTTTCTTTTAAAGGATCATCTCAAGATTCAAAATCAACAAACATAGAAATCCTAGCTGCTCTTCTTAGCGTTTTTTTTCAAATAATACGATTTTTATTAACAAATTCTTTAATTTATGAAGTTAATTGTATACGTTTGTAATAATAAATTTTTTTGGCCACAAGGTGCACATACTTTCTTACAATAATAAATAATAATAAATGACAGGCTGTATTTGATACATGTTAAAGAAAAATATATAATTGCATAAAATATATTACAACGGAATTGTTAAATTAATTAGATCAAATAAATCCCTTTTTCAATTGTTGTAGAAAACATTTCCGACGGCCTGGAGCCGGTCCGGTCATGAATGATAACCTGCGAAACATCCGCGCCGGTGGAATTTTCGATACCGGCCCGGTACCGACATTTCTGCCGGTTTGGTACCGGGTCGGTTATGGAAGATAACCCGGCAACTATCCGCACCGGTGCTGGTAAACCATCGACAATATCAACATTTTACAATTCAGATATCCAGTGGAGTAAATTTAAGTATCTAACAACAAAAACATTCATTATTTTTTTGAAAAAAGAGTAATATGTAGAATAACACGTTTCTTTCATTTGTTGATATTAATATAATTATTTATGCAAATTGAACATAAAAATTCGGACTCCAGGGATTTCTTACAATTTTATTAAAGATTATTTTTAAAAAATCCAAAATCGGTTGAGATTTGTAGGCTCTAGACTGTTTTTCGTTGTAAGCTAAAGATTTCCACAATTTCTTTTATTTTTCCAAAAATCTAAAAAAAATTACTCACGGTTGACGTGCACTGTAAAAAATTTTAGAAAGGATTTTAGAAAATCTTACCTACTGTGAAAATGGCATAAGTAATTTATAATCTACAAGTACACAGAATTGTGATGTTATATTTTTATGTGCAAATTTACATTTTTAAAAATTAAATAAACGCACTCAAAATTGCAATGTAGAAAAGTAATAAATTTATAATATAAAAATAAATTTCAATTAAAATATTTTTAATACGATTACACACAAAAAAATAGCATTGGTAAAAATGACTGGAAATGTGTAATTAAAAAAAAGCAGTTAAAGTACCATATTCAGAAGCTTTTAAACTAAACTCAGAAAGTTGGTGGTACTAAATTTTAGTGGTCAATTTCACCTACTTAAAGTTACTAATATTTGTAGTTGAAATTACTGTCATGTGATTTTAAATGGCTTTACAACATTTTAATAGTTAAAAATACTGATAGAAATTGTTATTTTTAGGATTTGTGTAGATAAAAGAAACATTTCTTATTAGTTGCAGAAAAAAATTAGATTTACTGTTTTCATTTAGTTAAAATAAGTGTTGAAAATAGTTATTTTTATGATGTTCTGAAATATTAATGACAAAATCCAAAAAAATAAACAGATTTTTTTGTTAATTAAGGTGAAAGTTGAAAAATTACACTGTAAAACGCGGTATCAATTATAAGTGAGTTAAACCAAAATCATTAAATTAAATTGCCTGAAACATGTGTTACCCCAGTAAGAAATGAATGGTCCAATCGACGTCGAATAGAAGTCGACTGATCGATTGAAATTACATCGGGGTCAATCCATTATATTTCGAATGAAGTCGTCGCTGACTAATTTTTAAAAATTATAATACTTTGCAGGAATGATTTTGAAGTTATCAAGATCACGAAATGAAAAGAATTTTAATAAAATTTTAATTATTTATTGCAAAATATGAATTTAAAGTATATGAGGTGCTGAAAACTGTCAATTTTTTAGCCATTAGAAAATATGCAAAAATACGTAGAATTTACCATAAAAATAAAAATTTTTTTTTGTAATTTACTAAGAATGAATAAATTTATCATTATTAATTGATGTAATTATTTAAATGTGTGAAATAATATATAAAATATGATTTTCAAGTTCGCCTGTCAAATAACCTAAATTTGCAAATTTCATCTATTAAATGTGAGAAAGAGAAGTCATTAAATTGAAAAAAACCTTACCAAATATAAAGTACCTGTGACTAACTTTTAGTTTTTCTTAGCACTTTTTTCCTTTTTTCTTCATAAATGTGAAATAAAAAGCAATAAAAATTGTCTCTTTGCTTATTTTCACTATTTTCAAATGTAAATAACTTTCTTGGAGAAAACTGAAAAATTACAAAACTTGGGCAATATCTAATTGATTACTAACTACACACACTGGAAAAAAATTCGCTTCGGTCCCGAAGATACTTTTTGAGATAATTATGTTTAAACTTTTCACAATTTTTATCAGGTTAATACATGTAGTTTTTTAAGGACGAAGTTAGGTTTTATTGGTTAAACATTTTGAACTTACTTCAATTTTATAAAAATCACATGCATTAACCTGATAAAAATTGTGAAAAGTTTAAACTTAATTATCTCAAAAAGTATCTTCGGGACCAAAGCGAATTTTTTTCCAGTGTGTGTATTTAGTGATATTTCTCCAAGAAAGTGATTTACATTTGAAAATAGTGAAAATAAGCAAAGTGACAATTTTTATTGCTTTTTATTTCACATTTATGAAGAAAAAAGGAAAAAAGTGCTAAGAAAAACTAAAAGTTAGTCACAGGTACTTTATATTTGGTAAGGTTTTTTTCAATTTAATGACTTCTCTTTCTCACATTTAATAGATGAAATTTGCAAATTTAGGTTATTTGACAGGCGAACTTGAAAATCATATTTTATATATTATTTCACATATTTAAATAATTACATCAATTAATAATGATAAATTTATTCATTCTTAGTAAATTACAAAAAAAAATTTTTATTTTTATGGTAAATTCTACGTATTTTTGCATATTTTCTAATGGCTAAAAAATTGACAGTTTTCAGCACCTCATATACTTTAAATTCATATTTTGCAATAAATAATTAAAATTTTATTAAAATTCTTTTCATTTTGTGATCTTGATAACTTCAAAATCATTCCTGCAAAGTATTATAATTTTTAAAAATTAGTCAGCGACGACTTCAGTCGAAATATAATGGATTGACCCATCGATAAATTTCATCGATTCGATGGAAATTTGTCACTTAAATCGACTCATTTTCGAGATCGACGTAAAATCGATATTCAAAGAAATAATAATAATTGCTATATCGATATCGATATATATATATATACATCACTCTAAATTTATATTCATATATCACTATGGTGATATGTATATTTACGCATATATTATAAAATAAAATATATTTGTTATTAGAATAATTTATTTTATTTTTTAGAAAAATATGTCCATAAATATTTTACATAAAATAAATATTTATTTCATTAGTTTCGGTTTTTGAGCGATTGTTGCTGGTCCCTCCAAGGTACATCCTTTAACCAACTTTTGACCCCTGCCTCAAATTGATGGAGGTCAGAACTTTCCAGCTTCAGTGCTGCTGCACCTATAATAAAAATTAAATTTTTATTTGTAAACTTTTATTGAAATTGATTTCAGATCATTTGAAATGTAACTTTTATTTTGTATATTACATATAAATATAATATAATATAATATAATATAATATAATATAATATAATATAATATAATATAATATAATATAATATAATATAATATAATATAATATAATATAATATAATATAATATAATATAATATAATATAATATAATATAATATAATATAATATAATATAATATAATATAATATAATATAATATAATATAATATAATATAATATAATATAATATAATATAATATAATATAATATAATATAATATAATATAATATAATATAATATAATATAATATAATATAATATAATATAATATAATATAATATAATATAATATAATATAATATAATATAATATAATATAATATAATATAATATAATATAATATAATATAATATAATATAATATAATATAATATAATATAATATAATATAATATAATATAATATAATATAATATAATATAATATAATATAATATAATATAATATAATATAATATAATATAATATAATATAATATAATATAATATAATATAATATAATATAATATAATATAATATAATATAATATAATATAATATAATATAATATAATATAATATAATATAATATAATATAATATAATATAATATAATATAATATAATATAATATAATATAATATAATATAATATAATATAATATAATATAATATAATATAATATAATATAATATAATATAATATAATATAATATAATATAATATAATATAATATAATATAATATAATATAATATAATATAATATAATATAATATAATATAATATAATATAATATAATATAATATAATATAATATAATATAATATAATATAATATAATATAATATAATATAATATAATATAATATAATATAATATAATATAATATAATATAATATAATATAATATAATATAATATAATATAATATAATATAATATAATATAATATAATATAATATAATATAATATAATACAATATATAAGCATACCTTTGAGAACCTGCCATAAAGTTAAAGCCTCAAATCCCCGTTTCTCGCCTTGACCTTTAAAATTAAATTGAGCACCCAAAGTGTTGTTAAAAATATGCTTCATTAAGCGCATGGCGAATCGCTTCTCCTTATTTGGTTCTCGAAATACGTAATTACTGAGATAAATTGACTGTAAGCAAAAAAATTAAAAGCATTTTTATAGAAATATTATAGCAAAACTGTCATAAAGCTAATATTTTTTAAATAAATAAATATATATCAAATATTAAGGGAAACACACCGTATTAAAGACATTGTCATCATTTTTCTTTAAATAGTTTTCCATTACTTGAAGCTCGGACGAATTTTTTAAAGGAAGTATTGGAAGCCCAGCAGGTCTTGACATAACTTTTTCGTTTGGCATCATGTATAGGTTTAACTTCGTTTGGTTAGCAGCGATAGTCTCCACTTTTTCGTGCAACATTTGCAAAGTCGTTAATACTTGTTTTTGGAAATCTGGAATAAAATAAAACAGATAATATATAATAAATAATTAATAAAAATAAATTAGATAATATCTTAAATTAATTGTTCGTGGAGAAAAAATCAAAGTTTACTTCACTTACTTAAAGAATTTGATTGTAAAATTGTCATGGGAGTAGAATGTGGTTTTTTTTTTTTAAATAATCGTCATAATTCTTAGGTGAATATTCTTTTTCATTTAATGAAACCTCGTCACTTTCTGCACCCTTAAGATGTTTTTGTCTTTTTTTTGCCAGAGAATTTCGACCCTCTTCGGTTAAATCAATGTGAGGTGAACATTCCGGAGATAGATGACTAGAAGAATTCGTTTGTTGAGGGATGGTTTCTTCATAACTGTTGTCACTGGAAACCTTTTCCATCGATAATTCATTTGTATTTTCCTCTTCGCTCGATGAGTGCGTTCTTGTTTTTAACCCATTTTGATCCTGATCTAATCCCTGATATTTAGTTTTGGAGGTGAAATTACTTTACATTTTTTCGGCTGAGATATTTCTGCATCATCTTCAGAGGATGAATGTTGTTTTCTTGTTTTCCTCCTTTGTCCTTTGCCAAATTCTTTTTCTGTTTCATACGACGAATCATTCGCTCTCATTTTCGCACCAAGACGAGCTTTAATGTAATCGTCTAAAAAAACAAGGAAAATAATTTTTTAAGTTACAAGTAAACATTTTAATGATAAAATAATTATAATTTATTATTTAATAATAATAATCAGAATAATTCCACTTTTTTAAAATAATCTCCTTGTTCCATTTCAAGAGGATCGCCATGAGTTTGATATAATTGAACAGAATTGTGATCTTCTTTGACTTTTACTTTTATTATTTTTTTATTCTCAGAGTCACGTTTAGCGTATTGATGAAGAGGTTTATTCCCAGATCGCAAAGTTTCTTTAATGCTTTTCAAAGCATTTTCAAATGGAAAAGCGCTAAAGGAATCAATAGGTCCTTGTATTTGGCATTCTTCAGCAAAATGTTTCAACGAATGCACATTATAACTAACAAAATGATAACCATACACTTTACTATAATTGAATACTATAATTAAATTTTATTAATGAGTAAAATTTAAAAAAATCCCAAGCTAAATTGGTGGAAAATTTCATAAATTTTACACGTAATATCATAATTCGATTTTCAGTATAGAATATAATTAATTCTCATATTTATAGTAAGAAATACACAGAAATAGTTGAATGAAATAATACGTAATATAAGCACATAACCTGTGTAATAGATTGATTACTATTTTTCAATGTTATCTATGACTAGCTTGGAAAAATCATACAATAATAATGGTATAATAATAAGTATTATTATAACTATCAACCATAATTTTTTTTTAATGACAAATTTTAAATCAATTTAAAATAATAATTAAAAGCGTTAAGTTCCATAATGCTTGCATTATTTGTAATTTAATATAAAAATATTCAGTAGTTAAAACATGTGAGTATTATAAGCTGTTTAGGTTATGTCTATTACTTTAATGGTAATGTTAATGTTACTTATGTGTTCAAAACTTTCAGACGAGACAAACAATAATAATCTTACATATTAATTATTGTACTATTTTTTTTACTATTTTGTTCATAACTACTTACTGGACCATCATCAGACATTGTTGATAAAATTATTTGATCACTTTTCGTCAAAATTTGTTATAACACCACAGTCAGGAATGAACTATATAAAAATTGTACACTATACAAATAGACTGAACAAACAACTACAACCATCCAGTTCGCGTGACCATATGACTATGCTGTGCTGTAGATCCTGACGTCGATGGCAGACATGACACTTCAATTCATAAAACCTGCGCACTAATGCTTAAGCCGTTATGATGATCCGTCTCACATCAATGATTAATACCCAATAAACGCACATACATGGTTAATATTTATGTGTCATATTTATATATTATATATATTATAATATAATATATTTATTTATATAATATTTAAGCAGTATTTATATATTCAGCTCTATATACAATTATACATATATAAATATATAAATATTAAAAAATTATTTTATTCTTTTTTAAAGTTTTGTAAATTATTAAATTTTATTAATACATTTTCTAAGCTATAAATTCTTTTAATAATTTTACTTAAAACTATTAATTTTTTATGAATAATCAAGTAATAATAAATATATTTAATGCGAAGATTATTTGATTATTTACTAAAAATTAATTGTTAAATAACTATAAGTAAAAGAAACCCTACCGAAAGAGTGGTACTGGAATGGTACTAAATTGGACTTGGCTTGAGTTCCACTTCAGTACCACTACCTGATTACCCATAAGAAGACATTTTTAAAGTACTTCAACAATAGTTTTAAAGGTGTATTAGATTAACAAAACGTCTCTCACGATATGCGTGTAAAACAGCAAAAAAAAACATAATAGTTTGTAGAAAATTTCCGTTAAGTTTAGAAATTATATTGCAATCCCTCCTTGAACAATAGACCCCTACGTCCTTTGTAGAAGGATTATAATTTTAACCCGAGTTTTATGACTTGAAAAATTTGTAATTTTAATAACTCAACTTAAAAAAATTTATATTGACATTCTTTGATATTTCCAGATTATGAATATCTAAAATTTATCAAAAAATAATTACATTTAAAAACGTTATAATTTATCTCGTATACCTTAAGTTTGACAAAAAAAGGGACATCATTTTTGAATTTAGCTGCCAAAGGACATATTATATGCATAATAATGTATGAAAATAATATAAATCCAGGAAAAACAAATATAATATTGAAATAAATATAAAGTATTAGTTTAAACATATTAAAAAAGCTAGTCGCTTTTCACTTTTATGAGGGTATTAACGGTAACTCGACCCTTTTCGCAGGTAAATTTCCCAGTTCTATTTCAGTACCAAAATGCACCAAATTAGTACTAAGCTGGTACTGAGCCCTCAGTTCCGATTTCCCAGTACCAATCCAGCACCACCCTTCCAGTAGGGAATTTATAGCTTAGAAAATTTATTAATAAAAGTTTATAATTTACATAAAACTTTATAAAAAAGAATCCTAACTCAAATTTTTTATTATTTATATATTTAGAAATAACTTAACAATAATTAAATTTAAATAATTTTTATTAATAATGTATAATTAAATATAGAGCTGAATATATAAATACTGCTTAATTATTTAAACAAATATTACTCACCTCGAAACTTACTTACCGTAAAATAAAAGTAAAATTACTTTTCATAACTAGAAATTTTAATTAGTTTTTAAAGAATTTTGATACCTGCTTAAAAAATCTATTATTTGCCTACTTCTAATAATGTATGATGAATTAAAAATTTTGCAGAATCGACATCGATTCGACATCGATCAACATTTTTGATATTTATTGAATTAACAATTAAATTTACCGAAATTAGTTGTATTTTATGTATTTTAAAAATTATTAGTAAATTATAAAGACCTTTTAAGTCAACATCGATTTCACGTCGAAATTTATATTATAATCGACGGACGATGAGTTGTCGATGACATCGATGTCGAATCGAAGTCGATGCGAACATTCATTTCTCACTGGGACGGTCAATTTAATAAAAGACTCACTGTACCTTTCATATCACTTCTGTAAGTGACAATTTATTATCAAAATAATATTATACATACAAAGGTAGGAATAAGACTGAATTGCTAAAACGTTTTGCAGCTCATGTCAATTATGAATCAATACAGGTGGGGATATATATATTTGCTGACTATAACATCCCTCTCGTTAGACAGGATTTAGTCTTTAAAGCCTAAGTTTTACATTTTTATCTAAATTAGGTTTAATATCTACTTTTGCCATTCTATGTGGTTGTTTTTCGTAGGTGACAACGACGGGTTCATTAGTGATTTGATTTTTAATACAGAATAAACATAACTTTTAAGGTAAATATTTTCGTATTATTTTAAACAATCCACATTTATATATTACATAAATTCCTATAATAGTTAAACTATTATAATCTGCAATGTGTAATACGTCTACAGCATTTTCTTTCCAATTATTGATTCGAGTACTTGATTTTATTTGCTCCAATAAATCTAATGTATTATCTAATCCTAATTTAGCATTTGCTAATGTTTGTTGATCTAATTTTTGAGGTAGCGGAATTAATCTATCTCTAAGATTTTCTATTTCATTTTTGTCAAAAGGTAATACGTAACTTACATTAATGTTAACAATTTTGTTTAGTGTTTGTATACTTGGAGGATACAATTCTGTGTTTTCTAAAAATACTTTACATCTTGAACCTTGTATTAAACTAGCATGGTGAATTGTAATAGTTTCAAGTCCGTCATCGCAATTAATGTCAATAGTTATTTGTCGGAGTGAGAGTAATATGTATCCATTGGTAACAGAAATATATGTTTCTTGATGTAATAAATATGGGGATAGTATACAATTTTCTAAAGCGTCTCGCCTTAACAAAGTAGCATCACATCTGTTAGATTTGCCTAGTAAATAATTTAGTTGTTTTCTTTTACAGATTTTATATTCTACTATGTTTTTACAATTGGTTTGGTAGTCAATTTTCAATGGAGTATATGATCCTCTATATTTTATGAAATATTCATGTTCTGGTGTATATCCTAAATATACAATATACAATAGGTATATAGGTGTATTCTTTAGTATTCTTGGAATCAACAGTTGAGGATGAACTATTCCATGTTTTCCGTCGTTAATAGCGTCTACTGCTATATTTAGTTCGTTGCTCGTTTAGTTCGTCAATCAGTAGTGTTACTATTACTAGTTTTGTATTTATAAATTTTTTATTAATAGTTTCTTTTATTGTCGTTCGTAAATTCATAGTTAATTCTAGTTCTCGATTAGTTTGTGTTTGAAGTAGTTCGTGATCTAATGAAGATGAATCTAGAATCAGTTTTATAATTTTCATATGATTAGTCAAT